GGGGTTATTTGTACAGGGGATTGTCTTGGACAGGTCAGCGTTAGAGAGATGGTCCTTCTCTGGGCAGTGTCATTGCACACGCAGTATAGAAATACCACAAGGGGGATGTGGGGGAGTGGTCGTTTGTGGTCATTGTTAGAGCTGGTTCAACAGGAATTCCAATTGTTGGGTTGGATAGGTGTGCACAGATGTATCAGTGATGCTCTGATACCGTGTATCATACATTTCAATTTATGATTTATATATCTCTGCAACAAGTTTTCCAAGTTTATTCATCTAATTCATGATCAATTTTTAGCTGCCTCTAACTTGACTTTTTTTTTCCCTCTTTACTTTCTGTCATGAGTGTACATCAATAGCTTGGACCTAATTGGCCAACTATGTTATAACGCCTCAAGGCCGTAACCTGACCTTCTTGTAAATAAACAACTTCTGTTACTACTCATTCTCACAGAGGTCTTGTGTTTGTTTGTGAGCACGTTTCATAATTATTCGTCAAGCTATAAAAATAGCCAGAACGTAACTCTTTCGGTCGATTCAACCCGTTCGTTAACTCTCGTACTCCTCAGCCAAAAGACTCCAAAGTCCACTCTCTGCGTTTCTCCAAGCCGAAGGACGAGGGCTGGGTCCTCGTGGTGGGCAACGTGGACTCACAGGAGGTGGTGGCGCTGAAGCGCGTGGGCTACGTGCGGGGACAGATGCGCGTGCAGCTCTCTCTCTACACGCCGGAGAACACGGGCCGTGTCGTCTACACACTGTACCTCATGTCCGACGCCTACCTGGGGCTGGACCAACAGTTTGACCTCTGCCTGGACATCATTCCGCCGAGCGTGGAGGCTCAGGTCAACTCGGAGGTGCAGGATGATGGGCGTTTTCGGTGAATTTGAACTCTGGTCTTGACAGTGACAGTTAGCAAGCAAGAAATGTGAGGCAGCGTGGTGAAATCAGGTGCTCGTCAAAATAGTCAAATGAAGAAACTGGCATTTTTTCGAAGGTTTGGGAATTTTTATAGAATTTTTTTTTTTGGCTCAACACCTTTCATTCCCGTTAAAGAACACATTTCTGTGTGGATTGTACTGAAAAACATTGATTTAAGGCATAAGGGATGTAAATTTTCAGTTTCCATGCGCTCTCAAGTTTAGGGAATAACTCAACTTTGGCGGCCATTTTCTCACTAATTTTACCTGTGAAACCAGGCCACCCCACCTCCTTCAATTGCCAATATCTTGACTTATACTAGGATAAATAGATATTGTTTTCATCAAAAGCAAGGCAAATGGACAATCTTTAAGAAGATACCAATAACTCCATATGCCCCAAAATTGACGAGAGCCTGATTCCACCGCATCGTGACACAAATCGATCGAGGCCTTTTCTGTTGGTGTACTGTGGAGTAAAGGTGTGTGTGTGCATCTTCATGTTGAAGTTGTTTTGACGGAATTGAGGAATTCGATGTGATATGTGCGTAAAGGCGTGTTGTTGTTATGATTTTGCCTGAGGAGAATATGTGATCTTTGAACTATAGGTTTTTATCTTCATATCATCTTTAGTTTTAGTAGAGGTTTTACGGCGCTCGCAACTGCATCAGGTCATATGAGCGCCAGAAGATTAGAGGTATTGCAAGAGAGTAACAAACATAAAAAAGAAGAAGGGGAGATAAGGAAGGACGATAGATGTTTGATAGGAAAGAAGAAGCAAACCACACCAGAGCACCCGCCAACCACCCACTTCAAATCATCAAGTTCAAGGTTCATCTTACAAGGAGATAAAGGACGTCTTTCTGTTGTAAATCATGAATCATGAATGATTGCTGCTGTGTGGATCAGATTGTTTATGCGCTAGGGTTCTTGACCTTGCAACTCCTGTTACATGTTTATGATTTGATACACTAATGTTGGAAGAGGAATGCATAATGTCAATAACGATCAGAATGAAACCAATAATGCCATTTTAATAAAAAGTAACCCCTGTTTTTGTGTGACTAGGCTAGATCCCTTTCTTAAAATTAATTAAAAAATTTCTCGTTAAGTGAAAATGCCCTATCTTAGCTGAGTACCAGTATTGATATCTCAGTGAATTTACTCTTATATTGAGATTCAAGAATTTTTTCTCTTTTGCAACAAAGCGTCATATTTGGCATTATGGTGAAATCAGGCGCTCGTCAAAATAATGAAATAGAAGAAACCGGCATTTTTCTTCACATTGTGCTATTTTTATCGATTTAAAAAAAAAGTTTTGGCTCATCACCTTTTACGTCATTTACAAGCACATTGCTGTGAGGATCATGTTACAAAAAATGTTGGATTAAAGACACAAAAATGTAAATTTATGGTTTCCAAGGACTCACAAGCTTGGGAAGGCACCAAACTTTGGTATCCATTTTCTCGCAAATTTCACCTCTGAAATCAGGCGACCCCCACCTCTTTCAATCCCAAATATCTCGACTTCTATTGAAATTAGATGGGTATATTTTTCTTCCAAAGCAAGAAAAATGGAAAAGTTTGAAGATGATTTCAATAACTTCCTCAAAAATATGACGAGTGCCTGATTCCACCACGTCGTGACACAATATTAGTTCCTTGTGAAGTACACATTGGAATACGGTAGGCTTTTAAAAAAAATTGAAGAATATTTAAAGATATTGTACGAGTATAAAGCAAAGTTGTGACCCATCCTTTGCTGCAAGTTTTTATATCATGTCAGTAACATCAGGGCATGTACAGGATGTAGATCTTATGATTTTGCCTTCCTGTCTCACAGATGTTATTATTGTGTAAGGTTAAGGGGAATATAATCCTGAAAAGTATATTTTGGTGCAGAATCATTGAAAAAACACATATTCCATATTTGATGATTGATTACTTCTGCCAGCTTGCTCCAGTCAAAGTATTTTCAAATATCTGTCCCTGTCGTTTTATGCAAGAAAAATTCTGAAATTATGCAAACTGAGCCCAAAAATGTGAAATTATTCTGTTAATTTTAACAAAGAATGATAAAGGAAAATAATAAAAAATTATGCAAAAAATGATCAATTTTGCTAAATGAAGCGGGGTGCATAAAACCACGGGGACAGAAATATAGATGCTTTACTCTCTGGGATTTCTCACTTAAATTAGATTATTTTTGTTGATTTTATGAAAGCCTTGACTTTGACTGTGTTAGGTAATGAAATAAGTTGTGTTGTGAGTTTCTTTTACTTTTATTGTTTTCTGGATCTGGAATTAATTAAGATGATGCATGTGATTTTTTTCAATACCTTGATTTTTTTTGTTTACAGCAGAGTTCTCTCGTCATGTCGTTGCTGTAGTGTGTGCCTGTGTCAGCAAATGTCTGTGGGGATACTTACACACATGTATAGCTTTCTGTGGTGTGGGTTTTGGAACGTTCTATTTTTTTTTTTCAGTGCATGATGTATTTTTATTATAACAAACAATTGGAATACAATATATATTGAAGTTTTGTAGACCTTTTGAAGTGTAGTAAAATATAAAGTGTTCCTGATACTTCTTGAGTCGTGTCAGAATCTGACTATAGTATAAAGTAACTACACTTATAAACTCTTGATTTGACAGAATAATAATTTTAGTTTCTACGTTTGACTAGTTCTAAGAATAAAATCAGACCCCCTTGTAGAGGGGAATGAGCGAAATGACAGAGGAATAAGTTTTTCATGCGGTACCCCCCCAAAAAATCCCTTTTTTTAATATCCCTATTTTGCTTGTTGAAAAAGAATGCCTAATGAATTTTGAAATAGTTTAGTAGTGTCACTCCTTTGCAAGACTCCAACACTGGGGTCAACAGAGTAATAGTAATAAAATATAGATAGCAATCATTCAATTAGTGCACTGGGGCGTTTTAAAAAAATCACATACAAGATGTCATTGTATTTCTTCATGCTGACCTGTGCAAAAAGTGCAGGAGCTAGGTGGTTTTTGTTAGAACCACCACATAAGTTGGGTGCTTTTCGTTGTATAAATGAATCCATTTTTGTGTCATTTCATGATTGTGTATTGTTGCGCAGTACTTTTAGTGCGGTCAAAAACTCGTGGCCCAACTTATCCTCAAATATCTCTTTAACGGGTGAATCAGTCATCTATACTTTGCACAGCAGTTTGTATCAATTTGTCTTCTAAATCATATTTTTCCAGAACAGTTGGGGCTAGATTTTAAAAAACTTGTCTTCATAAATTTATATAAAATACTTGAAATCTCTGTCCCCCCATAAAATGGGATTATTCACAGCACTTCCCGCTTCTCACACACATTTTGATTACGCATATGGCCTACGTCGCAGCTCATCAATGACAATTTTTAGAGGCAAAACTAGTTACAAGAAATTAATTTTATAGTGAACATTTTTTGCACTTAAGGTTCTCAAAACATGCATTCAATAAGCATAATGTCCCGATTAGAAAAACATGACAGACTTGCTATTTAAAGCAATATTGCCCCAGCTATAATCATTAAAAAATCTGTAGAAACCACCCACTTGGATTTTTTAATAAGTATTTATTAAGGAATTTTCTAAAATACAGCTAGCAGGTGTTTACAAAAATGTTGATCTGTTAAGACAAATTGATACAAGTCATTGTGCAAAAATTGGAGCACTCATCTTCGATGGTCGAGATATTTGACAAAAAGTTGTGCCACAAATTTTTGACTGCACTATAATGTACAATGTATTGGAAATCATTCTGAAGCATGACAGGATGGCTATTTATGTAATAAACATGCTTTTTGAATGGTGATTTATCAATGAGGTTTTTTAGTGTAATTTGGATTGAAAGAAGGAGCAAAATCGCATCAGCGCACCCGCCACCCATTATCATGGGTAATAATAGTAATATTAATCTGTTTCTAGAATATTGAGGGTCTATCACACAAACTTAAAAAATATCTACACAGGTACCGTACCTGTATATCATAAACAGCACAAGACGAAATGAAGTTGTTCGTTTGCAGAGCTAAAATTTATTTGGACATTTGACAAAGGCAACAAAAAGATGAGTGTGGTGAGGCGAGGGAGACTATGATGACATTATATATATACAGATGTGATTTCATTATATATATATATATATATATATACACCAGATATGGACACATAAAATATCAATTCACATAAATGGTCTGTCCTCTACTGTCATAACATGCTGTCATAATACGGAACTGAGGACAAAATTCACAAACATAATTTGTGTGCGTGCCTAGAGAAAGGTACCAAAAGTCAGATTTTGACCATTTTGAGTTAAGGGTTGTACTTTATAGGAAATTTACTGCAGAACACAGTGGTTTTTTAATTTTTGAGATATCTCCAGTAGTTTTTGAGATTATATTGCACATTTTTTGAGGTAGGGTATAAAGATATACTTTGAGAAAATTAGCTTTTAAGTTTAGGACACATACAAACTGGAAAAAAAAAAAAGATTTTGTTTCTCATGTATTTCATGGAAAATTCATTTCCAATATGGCATTCAGTTGCCATCAATATCAGAATTAGAATTCAATGGCAAAAAATAGCGGGGTAGAGAAAACATGCTTCAAGAATAGATTTCAACACATTCTATAAGCAGTTTTCATTATCTCTTTAAAAAAATACGCGCCTCAAAATTATTCAAAATAAAATATTTAGAAGTCAAATCAAGGAAAACTCTTAACACATGTAAAAAAATGGTGGAACATCATTTTTAAAAAAATGGAAACACATTTTGGTCAAAAAAGTGATTTTTTTGGTCATTATCAACCTGTAGCTCAAAATGGTCTGTGGTGACTTTTTGTACCTTTTTTTAGGCACACACACATATTTGCTGAGTCGGACAATCACTATATGGTAAAAATCAGAAAGGGCGACTCTTCATCGGACGAGACGCCCCCATTTGCACGAAAGACTTGCAGCACTATAAAATTTCTTACACCAAACTTTCACACGAAAGACTTGCAGCACTATAGCATTTCTTACACACACCAAACTTTCATTCCCACAAACACAACCTTCCCAGAATTCTTGTACACGTTTGTAGATGCACCTACATTCACTCACTTGAATCTGGGGTATATTTTTAAAAAAACACAAACGTAGGGGAGTGGGCTTTTGGGGGGAGGGGTTGAGGTTCTCAAAAATTCACCCAAAAAAATCTCCCCACTACGTACACCAAATTTACACCAGACACAGCACAATAGTAAGGGGGGGGGGGGGGGGGGGGGAGCCCATAAAGAAATAATCAATTCGTCAATGTGCATACATTTTTTAAAACTGGCATATGTCCAAACAGAAGAGGAATAAATTTACCACCCAAAAAAAATAGCAGCTTGATTCAAGTGTAAAACAAAATATCCTAAGTACAAGTTTTCTGAAGCAGAAAAATTGTTCATTTCTGAGTGAAAGTTTAAAAATATGCAGGGTTCAATGCAAAGAGGAATGTCACAAACTCAACAGCTACGATGGACGCCTCCTTTCCCAGCCGACTTGCACTAAATCTAATGCCTTATTTACTTACTTAGTCTACAAATAGCAGCCTTAATTAACTCATAATTCCTGATCTTGTACGACAGGGTCAGGATCTAAAGGTGCCTTTCTTTTCTTCTGTTCATGCCATGCCATACGTGTAACTCTAGTACTAGATCTAGCACTACCCACTAGGCGATAGCCAGCACTCATGCTTCGTCCCCAGTTTCACATTTAAAACATTTATTTTCAGCGAATTCACAACTAATTCTGAAATTGCATTAGAGTGGCAGTCTTCGATATCCACTATTAATGTAAAAAATATCTCAAAATAAGAGCATATTTGTCTCAACATCATAACAAATGAACTGAGCTTCAAAAATCATCCGCAAAAACTAGATCCCAGAAACAAGATCTGAAATAAAATTTTGATCATCAGAAAGTAAATGATACTCACAGTGGCATTTCCCAGAACTTACGCACTGCACTAAAAGCGCACTTGCTTTTTCCAGCAACAAGTGCAGGAAAAGACTCAAGTGAGTTAAACACACCACAATCACTCTACATACAAAATTTAAAAAAAACAACCCTCAGACATCATGAAACAATAAATAGACGGAATATCAGAACAGCCGAGAGTGAGACACGAACGAGCTTGTCCAAACATTTCATCTGACGCTGACGCATGCTGCTGGTCGTGCGTGGCAGCTGATCTGACGACGGTGTTGTCCCCACTGCCACACCAACAACCGTGCTGGACGTGACATCTCCGGACGACTCCATCCCACAGAGAGGCTCGCGATGGTCCCCGACAAACTTGTTCTGTAAGAGCGAGAGATTATATCATAGATCTACACAAATGTAGACTCACGATTTTTTTTAATTAAAAA